TGTGCCAAGTACACTGACAATGTGGTGCACAAGATCAAAGGAGATCAACCTGCCAACAACCCCAAGTCATGAGTGGTCCTGCTGAGTTAAAGCCACAGAAAGGTCACTCAGGACTTCCCTTTCTAGTAGCACAGGGGATAAATGAAGCTGGATCCTGCATAAAATAAGACCTCATACTTTCATCTGAATAGGAAAGAAAGGGACCCTCTGAGGACACATGGGTGCAAAGCTGCCAAAGGAACCCAAACATCCTCAGGTGGAAGCTGCACTGAGGCTGTGTGGCTTCTTGAAGCCCAGGCCTGACACTGTGCAAGGTCAGAAGCTGCAGTGAGAATCCGGACCCTGAGACTGTGGGCAGGAGGTGACGCACAGTAAATACTGCGACAGACTGTCACAAAGTCCTCCCATTCTCAGAAGGTGCTGCCACAGTCCGTGCCGAGGAAAGCCACCCGGCAGAGGCTTCCGAGTTACCCAGAGATTACAAAAGTGAAAGGAAGGGAACCCACAACCTAAGGTCACTAAGCACACTAAACCTAATCACTAAGAGTGCGGGACCAGGATCCTCACCAGCTTAGGATACTGCAGACTGACTTGACCTTCTACTGAAAAGCTGCAAACGAAGTAAGACAACGGAAAGACACATAAAAGCAAGCACAAGGCAACTTAAAAACATTACAACAGCCAGAGTAGTCAGAAGTAAAGGCAAGAGGGGTACTGGGAAGGCTGCAAGTGGGGCAGTGTGTGTTCTCTAGAGCCCTAGTTACTTCTAAGTCAATCTGACACAAGCTAGTCATTTGAGAAGAGGAACTCAACTGAGAAAACACCTCAGATTGGCCTGTAGGCAGGTCTATGGGACATTTTCTTGATTTATGATCCACCCAGGAAAGCCCTACCCACTGTAGGTGGTGCCAACCCTGAGAAGGTTGTTGGGTGATCTATCAGACTGGGCAGCAGCACATTAGAAACAAGTCAATAAGCTGCTGCACTCCTCCATGGTTGCCACCTTGACGTCATGCTTTGGCTTCTTCTGATGATAGACTGTAAATAAACCCTTTCTTCAAGCTTTTGGTCATGGTGAGTTTGTTTGTTTTTTAAAGATTTATTTATTATATATACAGTGTTCTGTCTGCATGTAAGCCTGCATACCAGAAGAGGGCATCAGATCTCATTATCATCATCAGATGGTTATGAGCCCTCATGTGGTTGCCAGGAATTGAACTCAGGACCTCTGGAAGAGCAGTCAATGCTCTTAACCTCTGAGCCATCTCCCCAGCTCTGGTTATGGTGTTTTATCACAACAAAAGAAACCTAATTAAGACATCTAGCACATGCTTGGCAGGAAGAACCTTTGTGGTCAGCCGGAAGTGGGTAGCTCTCAGTAAGGGCTCAGCACATGAGTCTTCTCTCCCTAAACTCTCCATATTGGCTCTCCTAACAGGGCACAGCTTTTCAAGGCCAAGAGACCTATGTTGGACTATCCCTGCTGGTTGTAAGACAGCAAACTTGACTTCAGCATGATAAATATGTGTTTCAGATGTGGCTTCTTTACCAGCTACACCATCTGGGCCTCTTGGAAGCCTTCTCTATCATCTTGAGTATCTTGCCCCATATTCTGGCCAGAGAGTTGATGGCAGAACCAAGGGAAGTCATGCTGAAACCGAAGCATGCATTGACTGAGCACCTGGCTTTACTACGCAGAGCATCCTACTGAATGCCTCAGGACCATACTTACCTAGTGTGTCCTCCTCCCGAGGCTCCTACCCACTAACTCTTCTAGATCATGCCCACAGTGTCCAAAGCTGATTCAGTGCAAACATGGCTTACAAGTAGTTTTATATAGCTGAAAATTATACTTTCTTAGACAGGAAGGTCCCTTTACACAACAAAAATTACTCAAAGATCCCCGTGTCTTTAAATTTCCCACAATACAGACAAAGCCACTGGAGTTCCCTCTGTGAGGGTGGGTGAGTCAGTCTGTCCTTCACTCTTTGAGGAGTGTCCTCTCACCTCCATGACATAGCCGATATATTCAATGACATGTCCATTGTATTCTTGAGATTTTAAAATCAGTTTGTCACCTAGGTAAAAAATATATTACTATGTGTCAAACACAAAATCACAAATTTCCTGTTTCACTCTGAAAGCAAGTCTTAATGAAGTATAATAAAATATAGAATTTCTGATATTTGTTGATTAAAGATAGTGTATAACAAAGAAACATGTATAACATACACGTTAGATCACTCCCTTTTAAGTAAATGTTGCTGCTAAGGACAGAAATGGGACAATCCAAGTAAGTGGACAGGTGAAACTACTTTTCCCCAGTGTGATCTTTCTGCTGGTCCCCAGGTAACCCACAGTGAGGATCTACCTGCATAGAGAGAAGGCCGGCTCTCAGCAAGGCCCGGGACCTCCAGCACCAGCAGATCCCCCTTCCTCTTCAGGACCACGCCACTCATGTTATACTCCTTCAGTTCTATTTCTGCATGGATCTCCTCCAGCCACAGCAGAGTGGAGAACTTCTCCTTGTAGTTTGACATGTTCAGAAGCTGAAAAAACAAGCACCCAGTTGGTGAAGACAGAACAGCACATTCCTATCTATGTCTAGGGAATACGCACCCTTAGAGTCCAGATGTCTAAACCCCTTACATCCAAGACATCTACTCCAGACAGGACCATTCAGGGTTAGAGGTTATGAACCCGGTCAGCATACCTCCACCCTTTGGCTTATGGAGGACCACAGCACTCTGGCTCTTCATTAACCAAAACCTCTACTCACTACCATAGTCTGGGCCCTCAGCCAACTCTGTTGTCCCTAACCTTTTGTCACGTCTTTGAGCTTATTCTGGAAAGGGCAGTGTAACTTCCATAGATGTTTGTGGACGAGGACAGGCTATCTATCCATTGGCCTAGATATAGTGTAAAGGGCCATCTTCCTTTCCATCTGAAATAATTGTAAAAATATCTAGATGAAACGGTAAGTCCTAGAAGCATAAAAGCTACCAAGACTATACCACAAAGAAACAATGCAATCAGAATATAATTGTAACTACTCAGGAAACTGGATCAGGAACCAAAAACTTTTTCAACAAAGAAAATCCCTAGATCTGGTGGTTTCATGAGAAAATTATACATTTAAAGAAACAGCAGAAATCCTCTTCAAACTTTTCCAAAAGCCCAAGGAATCCTCTATAATTCATTCCTAAGAAGTCAGTATTACTCTGACATCAAACTCAGAAAAGGACATTATAAAGAAAGAAAAGGCATGTGGTACACACCTGCAATCCCATCGCTGAGGAAATAGACAAGAAGATTACAAGTTTGAGGCTAGCCTGGGCTGCACAGTGTCACAGTGATGTGAGGGGAATGGGGAGGAAGAAGATAAAGAGGAAGAAGGGAAAAGAGATGTGAAAGAAGAGGGGAAAGGGAGGGAAAGGGAGAAGGTAGAGAGAAGGGCAGAAGAGGAAAAGAGCGAGCGGTACTTCTTCTCAGCTACGCAGCAGGCTAAAGAAAGAGGGTCATTCCAGCTCAGGAGTTTGAGGCCATCCTGGGTAACACAGTAAAACTCCATTTCAAAACACAACAAACACAACTTACCCAACCATACCTCCCTCTCCAACACAGACCAATGTCTTACGAACAATGATTCAAGGACTGTCACAAAACGCTAGCAAACAATGCTGTAGTATATGAAAAGGATTATACACTATGGCCAAACTTAGGAGGTATGGATAGGCTAACATATGAAAATTAAAAACAGCAAACTACTTAACAGAATGGAGAAAAACACATGATTATCGAGATACAGAAAAAATATCTGACTAAATTCAGCATCCTCTCATGATTAAAAAGAACCACTTTCTCAATATGATAAAGGTAGATTATAAAAATACTCACTGATGAAAAACTGAAAACTATTCCACTAAGATCAGGAACAAAACAGACGTCCATTTTCATCATTTCTCCTTATTTCTAGAGGTCTTTGCTGTAGCAATTAGTTAAGTAAATGAACTCAGGGTGGGAGCTTTCAGTAGAAACTAGCAGAGGAATGCTGCTTACTAGTTTGATCCTCTGGCTTGCTCAGCTACCTTTCTTATATAGCTCAGGCCTCCCAGCCTAGGGATGGCAGGCATATTGGGTCCTCCTACATCAATCAGCAATAAAGAAAATGCCTCATGGGCTGGAGAGATGGTTCAGAGGTTAAGAACACTGGTTGCTCTCCCAGAGGACTGGGGCTCAATTCTCAGCATCCACATGGTAGCTCACATCTGTCTGTAACTCCAGTCCCAGGAGATCCAATATACTCTTCTGGCCTCTGCTACAATGCACAGACTGTGCACAGACAGAGATGCAGACAAAACACCCATACACATTAAATGAATAAGTTAAATAAAGACAGAAAATGTCTCACTGATATGCCTATGAGCCAATCTGATGGAGGCAATTCTTTAACTGGGGTTCCCTCTTCCCAAGTGACTACGGATTGCATCACATTAACATTTGAAGCTAACTATGACAGTAAGTATTGTGAATGTGAAATCATCAGTGCTGAGAAAGCTTTGCACACACACACTGAAATGTCAGAAGTGTGTTTAAGCCACTTCAGGAATAGTTAGAAATTGTATTCTAACCGCCAGTCAAAATTCGCTTAACTCTCTGTGTTAAGTGCGTGTGCGCACACATGTGCACATCCATGTAAACGTGTGCATGTAGGTACACTTGCCTGTATTGGGTACATGTAGAGTACCAGAGACTGAAGTCAGAATGTCCTCAGTCACTTCTATACCTTTTTTTTTTTTTTTAGGGTTTTTTTTTCCCCCAAGACAGGGGTTTTCTCTCTGTAGCCTTGGCTCCTTTCCTGGAACTCACTCTGTAGCCCAGGCTGGCCTCAAACTCACAGAGGTCCACCTGCCTCTGCCTCCTGAGTGCTGGGATTAAAGGCGTGCGTCACTACTGCCCAGCCTTTTTTTTAAGTTTTACTATTATTATTATTATTATTATTATTATTATTATTATTATTATTAATTTTTGGCTTTTTTCGAGACAGAGTTTCTATGTATAATAGCTCTGGCTGTCCAGAAACTCACTTTGTAGACCAGGCTGGCCTCAAACTCAGAGATCCACCTGCCTCTGCCTCCCAAGTGCTAGGATTAAAGGTGTAGACCATTACTGCCTGTCTTCCTTATTATTTTTATGTGAACAAATGTTTGCTTGCATGTATGCAAGTATACCACATTCATGCAGTGCCTAAGTAGGCCAGAAGAGGGCATCAGAGCCCCTACAACTGGTGTTACAAAAAGTTATGAGTCCCATATGGGTGCTGGGAACCAAACCCAAGTTCTCTGCCACAGGAGCAAGTGCTACTACTGACTGCCAGGGCACCTCTCCAGCCCCTTCATCTTAATTTTTGAGACAGGTTCTCTCACTGAACCTGGAGCTCATCATTTTGGCTAGACTGACTGGCCAGGGAGCCCTGGAATTCCCTTCTCTATTCCTAGCCCTGTGGTTAGACATGCCCTGCCATACCTCTGTTTTAAATTGGGTGATAGAAAAATGAACTCAGGTCCTCATGGTTTCATGGCAAATGTTTAATTTACCAAGTCACCTCCCCAGCCTTCACTTTTTAAAAAGTGAAATTAAAGTTATCAACTCAAATGGCAAGTTTTAAAAGCAAATACATTCTAACATAATACAATCCAAAGATTTACTAATTTGATACATATTTGGTAAGAAATGATGAAAGAAAAGTATTAAAAGTCTTTGCTTCCCATAATTAAACCATTATGTTTCTAAAGAGCAGAAAACTATCTGTACAGTTAAAAAAAACCATTGTCATTCCTAGCATGTAATAATCCCAAACCTTCCATTATACTCTCAGCTGCACTCAGAGTTTCAGGCATCGCCTTCTGCGGGTGCCTCACAGGGAATGTACTTCTTGTGGCTACACATATTTAGCTTTTCACGATTCCCTCTGAAATCTAGGTAGAAGTCTGTGAAAAGCTCAAGTTCAGTTTGTATAGACCACCCCCCATCCCCCCACTCCCACCCCCCACCCCGGCCATGTACTCCCAAGTTGATGCTCCTCAACTAGAAACTGCATAGCAAATACTTCCTGGGATAGGGCAGACTTCCCATCCAATGCCAGACCCTAATTAAACTTTCATTTTCTAGACTTCTCTGCAGCCTCTAAACTCAGGGAGGTGGTCATCCCCCTTCCCTGCAAGCAGTGTGCATCTCTTTCCCTGTCTGCTGTCCTGGCATTCCTGGGAAGAATATTTCAGCAAAGGTCACAGATCTTCTTATGCTAAGGGACAATGCAGAGCACAAGGGAATGCTGAAGAGTTGACTGTGACATCTGCATCTAGAGCTAAGCCTAAAGCATCTCTGGCTCCACAGTCATGTCTGTGCCTTGCTGCTGAATTCAGAAGGGTTGCACTTCCTCAGATTTGGTGCATACCCAAGTCTTTCCAGAGACTCGATTTTCAATGTTCCTCTGCCTAGCACTAGTGCTGTCCACCTTCAGTGTTCTGAGCTTCTCTACATAAGTATGGAAAGCCTCCTGACCCTGGCATAGTAGACCAAGGCCAACTGGCAGATAGAAGACTGGCTTGAATCTCCCATTTCCACTCCTCTTCCTGAGCACTCTGAACACCAGGTTATATGTGAAGGCGATTCTCTCATCATCCTGAAATTCCTAATTACCTACGGTAAAAAATACTGACAGGAGATCTGAATCCAATGGCTCACCCGGTTTTTTTGAATGGCGCTTTAGTGGTGAGTAACACCCCATAGCTTTCAGATGTTTTCCTACCTCTGCAAGAAGCGGCTGGAAAGTCAGGATGTCAATTTTCTGTTCCACACATTTTTTTAATCTATCTGGTATTGGATACTGTGGAAGAAAACTTGGAAGTTGTCTTCTTGAGTTCCTTAAAAGAAAAAGTTAAATCAAGAGCAATTATATTATGCATGTATAGCTTGTGTGTATGTAGGGGGGTGGGGGGGCACGCGCACACACACACGTGTAGAGGCCAGAGGACAACTTTGGATGTTGTTTCTTGGGTGTGTCATCCTTGATTTTTTTAAAACATGGTTGTTTCTGGTTGGCCTAGGATTACCTGATTAGGCGAGGCCAGCCAGGCAGTGAGCTCCAGGAGCTGCCTGTCTCTACCTTCCCAGTGGTGGGATTACAACATGGTACCATAGTGACTTGCTTTTTTATATGGGTCTGGGGACTGAACTCAGTTTCTTCTGGTTGTGTAACAAGTACTGACTGAACTAAAATAAATTCTTAATCTAAACTTTTATATGTTTATAAATATCTCTCGTCTATAGTGTACGGGTCCAGAAATGTTTCAGATTTTCTAGGTGCCCCCCCCCCCCCACCTGTTCTGGGATTGAACCCAGGGCCTCACACTTGCTAGGCACTCTACCACTGAGCTACACTTTTAACCCATTATTCTTCACTTTGCAATATTTATATCGATTTTACCAGTTATAGATTTTCTGAAATGCAACAAAATCTGAAACTTGTAGGTCATGTCAACATTCAGACGTTTTCAGATTTCAGAAGACACTGGGTTTTGAGTTAAAGATGTTCAATCTGTATGAGGCATTTCCCCTCAGATATTCTGTCACACTGGGTTTTGAGTTAAAGATGTTCAACCTGTATGAGGCATTTCCCCTCAGATACTCTGTCCTGTTTCAGAAAGGCTAGAGTTCATTAGTCCATGGAAATACCTGACATGAGAACCAGACTAGGCCACACTGGGTTCAGGATCCTGTCTCTACACAAGCTCTGGCTTGGCACTCTTGTCTCTACAAGAGAGCTGGACAGAGCTCTGCAAGCTGTAGGGGAACCAGACTGGAAAAGTCCCAGGAGCCTGATCAAACCATGACATTTGAAGACAGTTCGTTTTAACTTCCTAAGTAGCTAAACTCTTATTACCACACTTTTAGTGAAGACATGAGTACTAGAAATGATACTGACACATCACCAATAAGAACATTGGAGGGGGCTAGAGAGATGGCTCGGTGGTTAAGAGCACTGGCTGTTCTTCCAGAGGACCCAGGTTCAATTCCCAGCACCCACATGGCAGTTCACACCTGTCTGTAACTCCAGTTTCAGGGGATCTGACACCCTCACACAGTTATAAATTCAGGCAAAACACCAATGAACATAAAATAAAAATAAATTATTGAAAAAAGGAAAAGTGAATTTGGGGGAAGAAAGAAAGAAAAAAGGACATACTTGGTAAAAGCTGCCCTGTGTGGAGCCTGCTTCAACTGATTTGCTGGTTCTTGGTGCTATTTTTCTCCAGAGAAATTTAGGTTCATCCTTAAGCGCCTGCCTTCATCTAGTTAGCTACATTTAAATTCACAGCATCTTCCAAATCCAGTAAGACAAAAAGCAGAGTAACAGAAATGACAGGGAAAATGGGGAGAAGTGAGGAGAGAGAATGAGGACAGGACAGGCATCTCAAGGCCAGGTCCCCTTCAAGCCCCAAAGCAGTTTGTGCGGAGTGGAGGAAGCAGAGGTGTACTGCCAGTCTCTCAACTTCATTGCCACTTCCTGTGCAGTGGGTTCCTTTAAGAACCCTGCAGGTAGTCTGACTGTATGACTCTGGTTGGAAACTGCAGTCTACTACAGGGCTACCCAGCAGTACTGAAGGATGCTGAGGCTGTGTGGCTACTTGGAAAGCAGGGGCACCTAGTAAATGCTAATGAACTAACTAACAATTACTGAGCTATGGAGGGACTACGACAATCAGCACACCTGTATACAAGCTGCTCTCTGAGTTTGAGACCAGCCTGGTCTAGTAATAAATTCTAGGACAGAGCTACACAGCGAGACCCTGTCTCAAAGACAAAAACACAAGAGTTCTGCTCACATAGAACAATGATTTGAATAGAAGGGAGAAGCCAGAAACGAACTCATACAGCTACAACCATCCCATTTTCAATAATGGTATAAAAAACACAGCAGAGAAATGACAGTCCCCAGAAATCACGTACATGATGGCTTACATGTAGAAGAATGAAATAGATCTCCACCTCTTGTTTTCTACAAAAATCACTTCAAAATGGATCAAAGACCCTGTGGTGGTCTGAATGTAATTGGTCCTCATAATCTCATAGGGAGCAACACTATTAGGAGGTGTGGCTTTGTTGAAGTGAGAATGGCCTTGTTGGAGGAAGTGTGTCACTGTGGAGGTGGGCTTTGAGGTTTCCTATGCTCAGGATACCACCCAATGTCTCAGTTGACTTCCTGTTACTTGCAAAACGTAGGACTCTCAGTTCTAGCACCATGTCTGCCTGCCAACTGTCATGCTTTTCATCATGATAATGACTGAACCTCTGAAACTGTAAGTGAGTCACCGCAATTAAATGTTGTCTTTATAAAACCTATTGTAGTCACTGTGTCTCTTTACAGCAATAAAAACCCTAAGACAGACCCTAACGTAAGACCCACAACTCTGGATCTGCATTTCAAGATACAGGCACTGGCAAGGTTTCCTGTGACTGTGACTATAATAGCTCAGTAAATAGTAGCAATACTCGATAGAGTTACGTGGAATTAAAAGCTTTTATACAGCAGAAGAAGGGACATCCTGCAAAACGTTACCAACTGACAAGGAATTAAAATCTATAATCTAGCTGGGTGGTGGTGGCACACTTTAATCCCAGCACTCAGGAGGCAGAGGCAGGCAGATCTCTGTGAGTTCCAGGCCAGCCTGGACTACAGAGCAAGTTCCAGGACATGCACCAAAGCTACACAGAGAAACTGTCTTGAGAAACAAAAACAACAACAAATCTAGAATCCATTAAAAAAAAAACAAAATAAAACAAAACCAAAAAAAACCCAACTCAAATACCAGCCATAAAAACAACAACAACAATGCTGGGTGGCAGTGGTGCACGCCTTTAATTTGGGAGGCAGAGCCAGGTGGATCTCTGTGAGTTCAAGGCCAGCCTAGTCTACAGAGCGAGATCCAAGACAGGCACCAAAACTATAGAGAACCCCTGTCTCCGAAAAACCAACCAACAAACCAACCAACCAACCAAACAACAAAACAAAACAAAAACTCAAACCATCTGGCCAATCAATATTTGGGCAAATGAATTAAACAGACAGTTCTCAAAAGAAATACAAATGGCTAATGAACATGAAAAATGCAAATTAAATTGCTCAGAGACTCCATCTCACTATCTTGATGACAATAGAGGACAGAGAAAGCCAGTGAGATGTGGGACCTATACACTGTGGTACTGTGAGGTGGAGCAGCCACTAAGGAGGTCAGTACAGAACTACCCCAGGAGCTGCCCCAGGTCCATGTCTAAAGGATTCCAAAACAACACACCACTTACTTCAACATTCATGTTTATTGCCCTCAACAGTTAGGATATGGAATCAGTTCAGACATCCAGCAACAGTTGAATGCAGAGTGTGATATATATTCATATAAGAGTTTTATTCATCCATAAAAAGGAAAACAGTTATGTGCAGAAACTGGATGAACTGGAGACCATCAAGAAAGAAAGGGAGGGAAGGAGGGAGGGAGGGAGGGAGGGAGGGAAGAAGCCAGGCTAAAGGAGGAAAAGTTTCTCTCATATGTAATTTTTTCTCTTATGTAGAATACACATTTGTAAACACACACATACCCTGTGTGACGGTAGAAAGGAGATTGTGTGTGCAGGAAAGGGTCTAAACGGAGAAGGAAAAAAGAAATACAAATGTGAAAGCAGAAGCAGACTATTGGAGGAGAGTGGAATAAGGATGGATGATGAGCGGGTAGATATTATCAAGGTACAGTTATCTGTATGTTTAAAAGTATCACAAAGAAACTCATTATTTTATACACATATTTTTTAAAAATTAAAGAGAGCTGGGTGTGGTGGTGCACGCCTTTAATCCCATCACTTGGAAGGCAGAGGCGGGGAGATCTGTGAGTCTGAGACCAGTCTGGTGTACAGAGTGAGTTCCAGGAGAGCCAGGGTTACACAGAGAAACTCTGTCTCAAAAAGCAAACAGCAGCAACAACAAGAAGTTTTGAAGAGGTCTACTGCAATACATGACCCCACCTGATTGGGGATTGAAGACCCTTTCACAGGAGTCGCCTAAGACCATTAGAAATCACAAATATATGGGGCTGGAGAGATGGCTCAGCAGTTAATAGCACTAACTGCTCTTCCAGAGGATCTAGGTTCGATTCCCAGCAGCCACATGGCAGCTCACAACTGTCTGTAGTCCCAAGATTCAACACCCTCACACAGATGCACATACAGGCAAAAACATAAAAAAAAAAAAAAGAAAGAAAGAAAAAGATATTTACATTATAATACATAACAATAGCAAAATTACAGTTATAAATTAGCAATAAAAGTGATTTTGTGGTTGGGGGTCACTACTCCATGAGGAACTGTATTAAAGGGTCACAGCATGAGGAAGGGTGGGAACCACTGCTCTAGAGAAACTCTCATACACGGATGTGCTGATACTCCCCAGAAACAGCCAGCAAGGTATTCCAACACTTGTACATGAGCTTTCTCTTGGGCCAGCTCTAACTGGACGGTGTGTAAACCAGAGTATTTGCTCTCATGATTCTCACCCAGTCACTGCAGGCATGCTAACATCTCACTCCCTTTCTGGGCTTTTCCCCCAGGCACACCCTGGAAGTGAACAAGAATCATCAGCACTTACTACTGCTCTGTGCCAGGAAACTGTGCATTTCATGTGCTCTATAACATCTACTCCTCAAACCACATGAGGGAGAGACTATCACTTACAAATGAAGTTAAGGCACAGAGAGGTCAAGAAACTTTCCCAAGGCCACACAGCTTCTTGGTCGCAGTGCTGTGATTCAAACAATGGTCTAAAGAAGCATGGTGTCCACAGATGCCTTCCAAACAATGGTCAACGACAAGTTCAGCAATCCCATAATACTGTCTGCTAATACATTCTCCTTTCAGTCTACAATTTGGTAGAAGTCCATCATCCTTTGTCTTAGACTGTTACTGGGTTAACATGATCTGAAATCCAGAATTTTCCAGTATTAGAGAAATAATAGTTTTGCCCTGATAGGCTGTGGGCAGCACCTGACTCAAACCCTCAGTAGTGACAATGACGCAGCAGTGTCTTCAGTACCCAAGACAAAGCCATTTAACACTCACACACGCAGGTCCCATTTTTTTGGATTAAACTTAGAAGAAATGTGTTTCTTGGAAGTTTTAAGCTCTGTTTACTTCAGACAAGAGCAAATGGACCTGAGACCCAACCCAGGCAGAAACCAAGTCGTTCACAAACTTTCTATGCTCAAGTCACTGTTTTCATTCCTGAATGGTATTAGATCTTCTAAAAGGCTTCCAGTGACCAAGCAATCTTGGGCCCAATACAAGCTACACGGCAATTCTGGGAACTGCTCTAAAAACCACACCAGCCAGCATGGCACAGAGCCGCTGCTGATGGTGCAGCAGGGGCATCAGAGACAGTCCTGCCCAGGAGTGGATGGCAGGAGCCAAGAGCTACACCGTCCTTGTTTCAAAGTGGCCCCAGGATCTGCCCAGGAAAAGCAGAGCTGAGGGGTGCATGGCGCCTGGTTTGCATAGACACTGGAGGTAACAGACAGAGACTCTGCCCTTACCAGTTCCACGGGAATGCATCCTGCCCCAAGACCAGTCACAGAAAGAGGCTAAAACACCAGCTTTGCCCTTGTCACCTCGTTAGCTAGGGTGATGGCTGACATGACTGCCTTTCCATAACATATAAAGCTAACAGACAGAAAACCACACAGTAATTGCATAGTACCTTTTCTGCGTGGTCACAACAACTGTAGTCTTTGCAGACACTAATGTTTGGGAACTTTTAGGCTTTTTCCAAGAAAATGGCTCACGCACAGCTATTAATGCCTCTTCACCACTCACGACATTCACTTCAAGATGTCGCCCAATAAGAAAGTTGGAGAAACACAGCAGAAGGAGCTCCTTGCAACGGCCAGGGTTTCTTGAAAAAAAAAAAAGAAGAAGAAGAAATTTAGTCTTAGTTATGAATGAGGCAGAATCAATCTGATTTCCCTTTCAGTATTTAAGGAAGTTGTAAAGCTGTAGTAAGTATCAGCCAAGCTGACTTCTTAGTAATTTTTTTCTAACACAGGAAAGTTTACTTTATAAAGCAAGAAATACAGTATTTTCCAAGTGTGATGGTTAATCCCAACTGTCAGTGTGGTTAAGGTCTATAATCACTACAGAGATAGCCCTCTGGGTATGCCTATAGACACTGTTGGTTAGATGAACTGAGGTAGGAAAACTTGCTGACTGTGTCTCCATTTCCTGGGATGAGATTGTGAAGCATATGAAAAGGAGAAGCAAGCTGAGCAGAGGCCTCGCTGCTCTCTGTTTTGTGCATGCAATGTTCTTCTGCCATGATGGACTGGAACCCTAACTATGAACCAAAACAAACCATATTTCCCTTAAGTTGCTTTCATTGGGGCATTTTTTAATCATAGCAACAGGAAAAGTAGGTAACATAGAAGAAAATTGGTACTGAGAAGTGGGCCAATGCTGTGATAAACGTGTGACTCCTAGGCCTTCAGAAATTTTTGTGGCTGGAATGTGGAAGATTTTGATACTTAAGGCTAGAAAATCCCTAGCATGCTAGAAGCAGGACTTAATGGGCCATTCAGGTGGGATGGAAGACAAAAATGCAGAGAAAAACATGGAGGCTTGGTTGATGAGATTTCAAAGTGGATCAAAGACCCTCCACCAGGAAGTGGGCTAGAGGCCATTTGTGTGATAGTATGGCTAAGAATCTGACTTTATTCTGCCTCTACCCTGAGAACTTGAGAAAAACTGATTTTAAAGATAACAGACTTATTTGTTAGACAGAGAAGTCTTCAAATAGGAGAGCATTTGGGCTGATGCTGCTGAAAGCTCCTTCCTGCTGCTACAGAGACATATTTTATTGTTTTGTTGGAGACAGGGTTTCTCTGTGCAGCTCTGGCTGTCCTGGAATTCACTCTGTAGCCCAGGCTGGCCTCAAACTCAGAGATCTGCCTGCCTCTGCCTCCCGAGTGCTGGGATCAAAGGCATGTGCTACCACACCCTGCTAGATTATAACTCAGAACTGTGAGCCAAAATGAACCATTTATTTCCTAAGTTGTTGATTTTTCCAGGTATTTTATTATGGCAACAGGTAAAGTAACTAATACATCAAGATAAATTCAGGTGCTTAAAACAGAACTTTCTGTAATTCTGAAATTTAACAGGGAAAACATTTTCAGTATTCCCAAATTCAAACAAGACTTCTAACTGTGTGACTAAAATGGCACCATTCTTACTTGATTGCTCATTTCCAGCTGTGACTCTAACAAGGTTATGCTGTGCACACTAACCTCTGCTTATAACTATAGCTTTCTCAACCTAATCACTCCTGTTATGCCATGGCTAAAACTCAGCTAAGCTGTCTCATTTACACGGGTGACTCACCTACAATCTGATGGGTTTGAAGCAAGATCGTCAGATCAGAAAGATTTAAATGACTGTCAATGGGAAGGAAGCCTGGACCCAAATGTCAACCTTGGTGACTACATGCTTTTGAGCAGCCAGAATGGTAGTGGGGCACGAGGAGGGAGAACAGGAAAGGAGAGCTGAGTGAAAGGCTGGGGAATGCTATCTGGTTAGGGCCAACCAGACGAAGAGGCAAAATGGAGGTAGGACTTCCAGTCTAGGCTGTGCCCTCCTTTACCTCCACCTCTTGTTCACTATACTGTCTTGACAAGATGCCCAGAGGACAAGAAGAGGGGTGTAGATGGACTGAGATCTTGGGGACACCAGGACACAGTGAAAATGAGCTCAAGATGGCAACCATCAGAAGGGCTCAAAAGCAGTAGAAGGAGCTTACATATAAATGGGTCATGAACACTACTTTCTTTGTAAAGATGGAGTCAGGTTGTCTGCTGAAGAGGAGTGTGGGTCCTATTCTGGGTGAACATTTTCTGGATCAATACTTGTCTTTGTGATTTGGTTCCATCAGAGACAGGAATGAATACTTTAAAAATACACAACATATCCAGGTAGTAGTGGTACACGCCTTTAATCTTAGCACTAGGGGGTAAGAGGCAGGCAGATCTCCGAGTTCAAGAGCCTGGTCTACAGAGTGAATTCCAGGACAGGCTACACAGAGAAACCCTGTCTCAAAAGGGAAAAAAATTATATAAGCATCACAGATGACCCATGGGAGAAACATGCACCAGTACCCCACAGGAAGTTCTTCCTAGCCCCAAGCACATACTTGGCATCACATGTAACCACAATGCAAGTTTTCTCCCCTGGAGGAATGAGGCCCCCAGGCTCAGGCTCCTGTTTCTTTGATGTGTTTCCTTTTTCTCTAATTTCTTCTTCACAAGCACAGTCATCTGGGAAACGACATTTAAACCAATAATTAGTGGGGGAAGGTAACTTATTCCCAACAATGTTGGAAATCAATGTGTGTATACACACACACACACACACACACACACACACACACACACACACACACACACACACACATCAACTTTTGTAGGTGGCTAACAGAACAGGGAAGCAGGGGAGGAGGATGTACCAACAGGACCAGCCAGGACTAGGGAAAGGTCTCTGGCCCTGGCCATCTCCTAGCTGAGGACTGCCTGTATCCTAAAGCACATGCTGGTCTGTGTCAAGCTGCTTCTGTCCTTCTCCCAGCCCCAAGACTGCAGGAGCACAAGTATCCAAATTAAAAAGAGTTCAGGCACCAAGTGTTGCCAGGTCCTAGGGCAGACTCTCTAATTCACTGGCCACAAGGCCAGCTCAGTTCCTGGACCTTATGGAGCAGCAGCTGCACCATCTACCTGGAGAGATTTCTGTGTTGCTCAGAGGGCTCTCTGGCATCTCATCAGTTTTGTTTTCCCTGTGATGATTCGATGAATTAACATTTTCACCCTCAGGAACAGAAACAGCAGCCTCCCCTGAGCAGGCCTGGCCTCTGCCCTGTGCCTCAAATCTAAACTGTTGCGCTTTATCCCAGCCAGCCAGTCTGCAACTGATGAGGTCCTGAGAAATCTTTCCTTTATTCCTGGAAAAAAGAAAAAAAGACCATGGACTGTGTCAGGTCTTCAGAGCTCAGACATCACAGTCAACTAAACCCACACAATTCAACGTAGTGAGGGGTGCCTTCAAATATCTTTACAATGTTAAGTTTGAAGGACATTTTAGAGTAAAATTTGTGAAAGGGTGATATAGTCTTGTTATGAACACCAGCCTTGAACTTGCAGTAATTCTCCTGCCTCTGCCTCCCCAGTGCTGGTGTTATAGGCATGAGTCATCATACTGGCTTGAGGTGAAATTTCATTTTGATATTCATTAATTCACCCAATCATTCATTCATCCAATACATGGGTGGGCACGTGTCTCAGGGTGTGCTTGTAGAGGTTGGAGAGTAACTCAGGGAATCAGTTCTCTGCTTCTTCCTTCACTTAGGTTTGGAAGGCTGAATTTAGGTTTCCAGGTCTGCATAGCAAAGGCCTTTACCCAGTGAAGAAACTCTCCAGCCCAAGGGCTGAGACTGTTTACAGGGAAAAATAAACAGGCACCATACAGTTGTTTCTACAGAATATCTTCAAGTCAGAGTTTAAAAGCAACTTGTATGGTCCCTTTACCTGAAACTCTAGGGCATACTTACTCTATCCAGATCACCATTGCCTTGCTTTCTCCTTCCTTCAATGTTCCAAAACTGGTCATTCTTGTAACTTCAATATCACCTTTGTTTTTCAGTAAGAGGGCTCCATAGGGCTCCTGGGGGGCCTCACCAAGAGTGGCAGCATCTCTGAAGAAAACACCGGTGTCAAGGTGCTGAGACTTCCCTGCAGTGCTGCTGACCTTCCCCACCTTCCTCCCACCTCCCTGGAGACCAACTGCCTGATAACATGATACAGAGGCCAGCCAGGTATTCTACAAGTCCCACAATTTCTCAGGTCACCTCACAAAAGAGCATCACAAATACCCCAAAGGCTAAAGGCAAGGAGTGAAACAGGTGGCATCTGACCTACTCCCACAGAGCTCACAGTGCTGAGATTCCTGCTCTCCATTGCCTCCAAGACTACAAAGAATGGATGTTGGGAGGAGGGGAGGAGGCACACACAGGGCCTTGCATTCAGAGATTTCCTGACCTTGTATTTGGAGTATTATTTTCTTTGCTTTTAAGGCTGTATGACTATATTTCCTTTATAGTGGACTGCATACTTAACACCAGTCTTGTAAGTTTAAGATGGAGATGAAAATTCCCACTGCCTAAATGTTTCATTCTTTTCTACACTTGCATTTGTCTAGATGTACATGTACATGTACAATGTTACAACAGCCTGCAGTATTTGGCACGGTAGCATAACATGTAGCCTATAGCAATAGGCTTATATAATTGATATATGCACAATCACTAAGCTGCCTGACCAAGTAATACATTTCTCAGAACATATATCCATTATTAAACAGTATCTGACTGTATGTGAAAACAATTCAAGGGGAAGTTCCGTTCTTGAGAAAATAAGAAACTTCTTTTTTCTCTCAAAAAGGAGTCCTTTGCTTCTTTATGTCCACATGCTTTGTGATCCAAGCATGGGAATGGGCATTATGCCCTGGCTCCTTAGCCCCAGCAGCTTCCATTCCATGATCAAGATAGAATGGGCATGCCATGGAACAGAAACAATTTCAAGAATTCATGGTGGCTGGACATGTGGTTCAGCATGAATTGTAGTACTCAGGGAGGTAAGACAGAAGGATTGCTAGTTATAGACCCACCTGGGCGACATAACAAGCCCTTACTACAAAACAAAACTTAACATAACACAATGACAACAACAAAATGTATGGCTTTAGGAGAAGAATCAGGGCAACGTATGGAGTGAAGAAGATGTGTCCTTTAAGTGGCTAGGACATCCACGGAGTCAGTGAGACCCACTGGTCATACATGAGCATTGTCCCCAACCCCATGGAGAAGAATATCAGAGTACGGAGACCGAGTCACAGACACAGAGCTGAGGCCCATCAAGACACGAAGGTGGGCTCCCAGTCACTAAACTAGACTGCCTTATTCTGTACTCCAGGGCTCTACAGATGAATATGCTGACAGAAGTGAGAGCCATGTTTTGCTTCTTCTTCCAGAAGGTAAGCAGGGCCCCATGAATAAGAGTACTGGGCTCCAAGTAGACAAAGACAGTATCTTCCAGCAGGAAGAAGATGTGGCATCAGTGCACCCTCCACACTCCATCAGACAACTGCTGCCCATTGGCTTATGTGGGGCAGAGCTGTCTCATCAGACACCGGGATAGGTGCCAGATGTGGGGCAGAATGGAGAAAAAGCACTTTCCTACTCATACCTGGTATTTTATTAAGGAGACAAGACAGTGAGTAGAATAGTGAAAGACAATTAAGGAGCCCACGAGTGGTGATTGCTAAGGGCAACAGAAGAGAAGGAAGCCCAGCAGGCAGAGGTGCAGCTGCCACACACACAGCAGAAATGGGGAACACACCGCCGCAAATAAAGCACACACAAAAAACCCAGACACAGGATTTCCAGTCACTGTAAGAACCTACTACATCAGGCAATGGTGGCACACGTCTTTAATCCCAGCACTCGGGAAGCAGAGGCAGGTAGATCTCTGTGGAGTTCCAGGCCAGCCTGGTCTACAGAGCAAGATCCAGGACAGGCACCAAAACTACACAGAGAAACCCCGTCTTGAAAACAAATAAAAAAAGGTAATAATAACAACAAAAGAACCTACTACATTTATATATATATATATATATATATATTTATATATATATATTACACACATACATATATATAATTTTTTATTTTCTATGTGCTGTGGGATGTCTTTCTGAATGCTGTGAATATGTGTTGCTCTGATTGGTTGATAAATAATGCTGTATTGGCCTAAGGCAAGGCAGCTTAGAGGCAGGCAGGAAATTCAAGCAGATAGACAGGAAGAAGAAGAGAGAGAAGAGACGCCAGATGTTGCCAGGAAAAGCAAGATGTGAAAATATTGGTAAGCCATGGCCACATGACAACTTACAGATTAATAGAAATGGGTTAAATTATAGGAGCTAGCTAGTGAGAAGCCTGAGCCATTAGGTCATACAGTTTGTTAAGTAATATAAGCCTCTGTGTGTTTACTTGTCTGAGCAGCTTTGGGACAGGCGGGACACAGGAAAACTTCTGACTACATCTACATGTATGAGTGTTTTGCCTGTGTGACTGTATGTGCATTATATGTGTGCCAGGTGCTCAGGAAGGTCAGAGGAAGATATCAGATTCCCTGGGACTGGAGTTACAGATAGTTGTGATCTGCCATAGGGTGCTGAGTCCTCTGCAAAAACAAGTGCTTTTAATTACTGAGCCAACTCTCCAACCCTCAATATATATATTTAATAAAGAAAGGACAACAGACACAAAACAAAAAAATGATGTTAGACATGCTGGTGCACACCTTTAGTTCCAGAAGTTGAGAGGCAAAGGCAGGCAGATCTTTTTGAGTTCAAGGCCAGCTTGGTCTATACAGGAAGTTACAGGCCAACTAGGGCCATATAATGAGACACTGTCTAAAACAAACAAACAAACAAGTCAACAACAATGAACTTCATATAAAAATTGGGCTAGAGGTCGGGCAGTGGTAGTGCTCACCTTTAATCCCAGCACTCAGGAGGCAGAGGCAGGCAGATCTCTGTGAGTTCGAGGCCCACCTGGGCTACAAAGTGAATTCCAGAAAAGGTGCAAAGCTACATGGAGAAACCCTGTCTCCAAAAACAAAACAAAAAAAAGGTTGGGCTAGAGATGTAGCTCAGTGGGTAGAGTGCTTACTTAGTGTGCACAAAGCTCTGGGTTCAATCCCTAGAACTGCACAAATCCCTAGAGACTGCATATGCCTCTCAATTTCAGGTTTTAGGAGATAGAGGCAAGAGTATTGTTCAAGGCCACCCTCAGCTACATAGTAAGTTTGAGGCTGCCTTAAGATGAGACCCTGTCAAAGAAAATAGGATAACAGAAAATAAAGAATAAATAAAATTATAAAATGACAACCACTACTATGATTTGAATATGATTTGTCCCTTACAAAACTCATGCTGAAATTTAATCTCTACTAAGAAGAGGTGGGATGCTGCCCCTCCCCAAACAAAACAAAGCAAAGAAACAAAGAGGTGGGACCAGACAGCACTTTTGAGTGTTGAGTAGGGCTCTGTCCTCATGAATAGATTAAACCCCTATGTTCAATGGAGTAATGGGTTATCTCCAGTGGGTCTGCTATATAAACCAATTTGACTAGGGTTCTATTAACATGTGATGCTTCACGTTACCTCAGGACTCTGCTGGCCAGAAGGCCATTTCTGGATCTGGGGATATAACTCAGTGGGTAGAGCATTTTTCCAGCACACACAAGGTCCTGGCATCAATCCTTAGCACTGGGGCTGGATGTAGGGAGCCCATAATGAGATGCAGCCCTTGATCGTGGACCCAAGCAGTGAGCCCAAATAAACCTCATTCTCTTGTACCTTACCCAGTCTATGGTAATGTGTTATCAGCAACAGAAAATGGATGAAGACAATCACTACCAAAAGAGTAAGGATTAAGGGACTCTTGGGGCTGAGCATTGTGGGACACACCTAAAAGGAGGCAGAGCTAGGTAGATCTCTGTGAGTTTAAGACCAGCCGGATATACATAGAGAATTCCAGGACATCTAGAGCTACATAATAAAGAGACCCTGTTTCAAAAGCAAACAAAAAGAGACCCTTGGAATTCTATCATCACTCAACCACAAAGACAGAGGACTCTTCTTAAGCAGCAGTAAATGCAGGGCCTGGAATGTCAACTATTCTGGCTTAATAAAGTACAGTCATGCATCATGCATGCTAAAAACAGGAATACATTCTGAGAAATGGGTTGTTAGATGATTTCATGCTTATGTCAATATCATACTATACTTGCAAAGACCTAAGCAGGCTACAATGTCACTATGTGATACAATCATTGAGAAAAATTTTAAATCGACCTTTCTCTTATTCTCTCTCTCTCTCTCTGTCTGTGTGTGTGTGTGTGTGTGTGTGTGTGTGTGTGTGTGTGTGTGTGTAATGCCATGGATCACATGGAAGTCAGAGGACAACTTGTGGAGTCAGTTCTCTCCTAGTATGCTAGTTCTAGGGATTGAACTCAGGCTGTCAAGCCTTGGCAACTTTTAATTGCTGAGCCATCTTGTCAGCCTGGTGGTATGACCTTATGGGAAAAGCATCATGTAAGCAATCATGGATGACTGAAATGTTAGGCAGTATTTGACTACAACTCTTATAAATATACTTAAAATTGGCCTTTTTATTTCCAAAGAAGAATGGTTTGGGTACCACCTCTTCACGGGGGTCATGCACAGTGCTCTCCAGATGTAGCATGACTGGCTGCTCTCCACCACCACAGCATTGACAATGTCGTGTCTCCTTGGTGTGTACCCTTCCGGTAGCTTCAGGGAATCCAGGCTGAAGAAGATGCTGTCCTCTATCACCCCATTCCTCCCACACAGGCTGGAAATGCAAACCTGCAAGTGCAGTGCTGAATATTGCTTCAAAGTGTATATGGACAAGGGACAGTTCTCAACCCTGGCTTCTCTGACTCTGACTAACCCAGTCTGGCCTTGCGAAGCCAGTAAAGTCCAGTACAACACAGATGCACAAGAGCCTGGGAGCTTTCAGGCTAACAAAGAGGTATGGAGTGGTAGCTGACATCTTTCCCCAACTGCTCTGTCATGGTCCAGTTCATGCATCTACCTCACCCCAGTGCAAACTCAATGTTTCCACAACTCATGTCATTCCCTAAACCATCAGCTGACAAGGAAGCTCAAGACCCACAATTCCTCATGTATATGCTTTGTCCTAGAACACCTTTAACACATCCAGGTGCAGGCTGTAAGTCAGACTTTAAGCACACAAGCATGCTGCTGCCTCTACTTCCCTTTTAAAAAAAATATTTACTTTCTGTGTACAGGTGCTTTGCCTGAATGTCTTTGCACCATGTGTATGCAGGGCCCTTGGGACACTAAAAGAGGGCATGCATTGGATCCCCTGGAACTGGAGTTCACAGACAGTTGTGAGCCATCATGTAGGTGCTAGGCATCAAGCCTAGGTCCTCTGGAAGAACAGCCAGTGCTCTTAACCACTGAGCCATCGCTCCAGCCCCACTTCTACTTCTTTAACGAAACACAGACTAGGACTGAGTTTTATCTACAAGAATCATCAAGGACAATCCCTGGGCAGCTGTAGGAAAAACTCAGGAACCACTCACTCGTCAGCACATTACCTTGTCCACACGCTTGTACCGCAGTGGCTTCACTGAGATTGCCTCGCTGCTCCATGTCCCTGGTCTGATCCAGTACTCAGCCTCTACCCAGTCTCCCTTGCATGCGTGGAAACCTGAACAGCCAAAGAGAAAACTTCAATAACATTCAAATGTGCAGTGTACTCTGAGGTTATAACACATTGAAATAATATCTGGTCCATCTTTCCTCATTTCTCTGTCATGATCCAATTCATGTATCCACCTAACCCTGAAGCAATGCATGCTCTCACATTAGTTAAATGGAGCAGAGTTTTGGGTATCAACTATCCTCCAGCCTCTAAGACAGTGGTTCTCAACTTTCCTAATGCTGTGACCCTTTAACACAGTTCCTCATGTTGTGGTGACCCCAACCATAAAATTATTTCATTGCTACTTCATAACTGTCATTTTGCTGTTATGAATCATAATGTAAACATCTGATATGTGACCCTGTAGGGTCTCAACCTACAGGTGGAGAATTGCTGCTCTAAGAGAACAAAGAACCCAGTATGGTCACTCTCAAGTCAAGCCTGTCATCTCGGATCCCCAACCCATTAAATCTACTCTCTATATTTTGTCATATCAAAATATTTTTAACCAGGTGTGGTGGTACACACCTTAAGTCCCAGCACTCAGAAGGCAGAGGCAGGTATAGCTCTGTGAGTTCAAGGCCAGCCAGGGCTACACAGTAAGACCCTGTCTCAAAAGACAAAACAAAACAACAACAATAAAAAACAAATCCAGAATAAAACCCCAAAGAACCTGGGCTGGGAAGACTGCACACGCATAATGACCCGAGTTAAAATCCCAGAATCACATAAACTCTAGGTGTGGTGGTACATATGTGTAATTGCAGTGCTGGAGGAGTGGAGACAGTCAGATCCCTGCAACTCACTGGCCAGCCGTTCTAGCCAAATGGTGAGTCTGGGCTGAATTGTCTCAAAAAAAAAAAAAATGTGAACAGCAACTGAGGAAGGACCCCTATGACCTCCCCATGCACCATACATACATCACACTCGAGAGCATGTGCACTTGTGCTCATGCACACGTGTGCACACACAGACATGCACAACCAAATTAGTCTGTTTTTAATTGTACTGTGTTAGTGTAGTGTGGGAGCCCATTTTCAGATTTCCTAGTGGCTTTACCCAGCAGGTTTGTATAGAGAGGATGATTGGACCACGGACCTGAGTGCAGGTGTCTGAGATGGTCTGCACTTGGATGTGCTGGGGGGAGGTCTTCTGCTCCACCCCTTGGTGTTTCTATAAATACCCTGGGGCAGAGACAGTCAGGGCCTGTTGGAATAGGTTCCAGGCCCTCTCGAGGCTATCCTGTATTTTGTATCTGTTCATTTCCACACTCTAAATCGTTCTAATACTTCCTGCTGCTCCCACCTAAGAGCACTCTGGGGAAATGTGGGGGTGGTGGGTAGCCCCCCCACAAAGTGTAGCATTTTTCTTGTTATGATAACAAGCTGCCTGACAAGAGCAATTTAAGGAAGGAGGTTCAATGTCACTCAGTTTGAGAGCACAGTCCACAAAGACAAAGAGGGCGTGGAGGGAGAGCAGCCCTAACAGTGGCAAGACCACGAGGCAGCTGTCACACTGCACCCACTCAGGGTCAGAGAGGTTGAAGACTGGTGGGGCCCAGTGCATGGAGTGATGCTGTCCACATGGAAGGGGGGGTCTTCCCTCCTCAGTTAGATCTCTCCACAGACACTTTCATGCCCAGAGGTATTTCGTGTGTGGTGCTAAATCCAGTCAAGTTGACAGTGAATATTAACCACTACAAGTATATCTGTTGTCAACTTGACACCCAAAATCATAACATTCCACCTCTGACCCTCAAAGGCACACAGTATCTCATAATACAAAATACACCCATTCCAATTTCAAAAGTCCCTAAAGTCCTACAGTGTCAAAACTCCTCAAAACCAACCAGAGAATCCACTAACATTCAGGCAAACTTGTAAATGTTAGCCTCTGTAATAACAACAAACAAAAATCAAGTTACATACTTCTAATATACAATGGGCACAGTATACATCCTATTTCAAAAGACAGAAATGGAGGCATAGCAAAGAAAGATTGAACCAAAGCAAGATTGAAACCCATTAAGGCAAATGTTAACTCCCAAAGTTCTATGTCTATCCCCTGGGGCTTTACAACGGACTAATTTGGGGCTCCAATAGCCTTGGTATCCTGCCCCTTTAGTTCTGCTGCCTACAGAGCTTGGACCATCTCTACTCTATGCCTGAAGCTTTCCTTGTTGGACATCTTGGGGTCTCCATTATGGATTTAGTCTTCACTCTCACCAATTCACACCATTTCTCAGGGCCTTCTTCCAGGAAATCCAAACCTGCCACACACTGGCTTTCTGGAACTTTGGTGCAAACCTCAGTAACAGTCCATGCTTGCATTTTGCAAGCCTGGAAAACCAGCACCATAAGGACGGCATTGTCAAGTTCTGTTTCCAGTTTAAGAAGCAGTTTGGTTCCTTTCCACCATAGCTAAAGTGGCTGAGTCTGGGGAAACACTTCCATAGGCAAACGCTGGGAAGCACAGAACCTGTGTAGCATTCTCAGTTCCATTCTCTCCTTTATACCTGTGTTAGGTGAACTCTTGCCATCAGGACCTTTCTAGTGTCCCAGTGACAAGTATGAGTTTTAAAGCTGCTAGTATTTTTAAGAGTTCAGCTGCTTTCTTGGCACTCGCCTCATCTGCAACTTCAACCACACTCACACCGATTTTTCTGCTCAACCTCACTATAAATCTAAGTAAGAGTAGTAAACAGTAACCATGCCACAGCTGAATACTGTACTGTCTTGAAATGTTCTCCACCAAACAACTTAGTCCACTGTGTTTGAATTTAGTCTTACTCAAGTTTTGAGGATATGGGCAGGAACATTCCAAATCTGCTGGAACGTAACACAGACAGCTTGTAGTCAAATTCCCAGTACAGTCCTCAGTCCTTTCTGAAATCTCATGAGCTGAGACTTCATGTTCCATTCCAGTCTTCCATATTCCCGTCTTCCATATTCCCACCAGAATGGCCCATTAAACTCTGTATAGCATTCTCAGGCTTCTCTAGCCAAAAGTTCCAAACTCTTCCATCCTTCTCCTGCAAACAACTTCCAAAGGCCTATGAACCTTATGGTCAGGTTTCTCAAAGCAATAGTCCTGCTTCTCGGTATGATTTTCTGTATTAGTTATTTACCTTATTGCTGTGACAAAATACTTAAGAAAACCAACTTACAAGGAAAGTTTTTTTGGGCCACAGTTTGAAGGAAGAAGGGATGGCATTGAGAGCAACCCTAGTGGTGGTGGCTAGAATTTGAGGTGGCTGCTCACACCACGTCCACTCTAAGGAAGCAAAGAAAAGAGAATGCTGGTCCTTCTTCCCTGTCTATTCAGCCCGGGACCCCAGCCTACACAATAGAGCTGCCTACATTCAGAGTGTGTTTTCCTCTCTGCCCAGTGGTGTGCCTCTTAGATGACTTTAAGTTCAGTCAACTTGACAGTAAGTATTAGCCATCCCAGTTAGAATGCATGACCTTAAAAACTGCTATGTGAGTTGCCAGCTTGAGCTTCATAAATAAGTGTCAAATGGCACAGGAATGGTGGTACATACCTTAACCTTACCATTTGGGAGGCAGAAGCAGGCAGATCTCTGTGAGTTCAAGGCCAGCCTGGTCTACATAGTGAGTTCCGGGTCAGCCAAGGCTATATAGTGAGATACTGCCTCAAAAAAACGTTAAGTTAGCCAGCAGTGGTGCATGCCGTAGTGCACTCCTGCTGAGCTCCTGGCCTGGCTCCAGAGAGCAGCACCTAGCCCCAATCCTTCCTTTGTTCAACCACACCTTTTGTTTCTCTTATCACCCTATGTGAATCTTGTTTGAGAGTCAAGGATCAGAGAGTCCCCCAGGATCAAAGGCCTATGCAAAACTTGGTTCAGGAAACCCGGAAGACCGTGGTACCTGATAAATAAAGTAATTTGTACTTGGCATTTGGTCTCTGGGAGCTCCTTTTAGATTGCTGTGAAGGTATGGAAATTAACTGGCTAAACTGTAGAGAGTAAATAAAAATGCCCTAGGTGAAGGGGAAAGCACTTCAGTCCTTCCAGGCTGGACTCCCCTGCAGCCATGAAAGGCTAGATTCATTCTTAAGATACCTCCAAGTCTTCACTCCACGGCCCTGGCCCGAGTGAACTCACACACCGGTGCTGTGACCACACAGTTACACATGCCTTTAACCCCAGCAGAGATCGGCAGACCTCTGTGAGTTCGAGGCTAGCCTGGTCTACAGAGTGAGTTCCAGGACAGGCTCCAAAGCTACACAGAGAAACTCTCTACCAAAACGAAAGAAAAAAAGTTAGTTAATTTGTCTTGGAATTAGGGCCAAATTTCTAAATAAAATGATCCTTAATATAATTTTGTACTGTGTATTTATGGAAAGCAGCATCCCCAGCATTGGTGATTAAACTATCAAAATGCTGATCAAAAGTATTTTTTTTTTTGATTTTTTTTTTGGTTTTTTCGAGACAGGGTTTCTCTGTGTAGCTTTGCGCCTCTCCTGGAACTCACTTGGTAGCCCAGGCTGGCCTGGAACTCACAGAGATCCGCCTGGCTCTGCCTCCCGAGTGCTGGGATTAAAGGCGTGCGCCACCACCGCCCGGCTCAAAAGTAATTTTAACACCTTTTCTCAGATGTGTAATGGCACAGACAAACTCTGGCCACCCCTGGCTATAGCTGAGGTGTGACCCCACAAAAGTCATGGGTTCAGAGTGTGGTTCCACCATTTTGGGCACCAGGCAAAGTGCATTGCCAGCTCTCTCCTCGCCACCCTCTACAAATGCTTTCCTCAAGCACAAGAACAGGACTGAATGGTCCAAATCATCAGGCTGGGAAAGCAAAGAGCAGGCAGACATGGGAAAGCTTTGGAAACTATCTGCCTTGGTAGGACCTGTCTTTGGGGTAGGGTCTGGAAGGCAGGGGTAGGGGAGAGGGAGCATACATAAGTGCAGTGTTTAACTTTAAAATTTTTGTTACTATTATTATTATTGTTATTATTCTAGGTTTTTGAGACAGGGTTTCTCTATGTAGTCCTAGATATTCTGGAACTTACTATGTAGAGCAGGCTGGTTTTGAACTCACAAAGATCTCCCTGACTCTGCTTCCCAAGTTACTAGAATAAAGGTGAGTACTACCACACCCCACCTAATAATTTATTATTGTGTGTGTGTGCGCAGAGGACAACTCTGTAGTCAGCTCTCTCCTTTCATCTATGTAAGATGCTCACACTCAGGTTGCCAGGGTTGTATAATAAGTACCTTTACCCACTCAGCAACCTGACCAGCCTTGGGTGCAGGCCTTAAAATCAACAACCAAAGAACCTCGGGAATATCAGAGATAAGAACAACTCAAGTGATTGCTTTAACTAACAAGAAGGAATCTGAGCCAGGGTGAACTTCACTGGGCTGTATCTGATGCTAGATTCCTGGAAAGTCACTTAGTTTACTACTCACTATTTGGACCCCATGCTTTGGGATCTTACTTAGGGGTCATTTGGCAGTGTTTTTCACATTGTATTTTCTTTCAAGAATGTTCTTTTGCTATAGTCACTGGGTTTTATAATCATATTAATAGAAAATTTCACATCTCTGAGCACAACTCTCACCCACAGAAGAACCTTCACCTCACTTGAGTTTTTCTGTATTAGGAGATCCATACAGCTCTTTAGTTCTTTGTACCTCTAGTGATGCAGAATAAGGTGGAAAGGACCAACTATTAGATGCTGATTTACTCAGTTCATTTTTTACTTAAAGCACTGCTTTTACTGCCCACTTCTAGACATGACTTCACTTGTTACCTGGAACATAATGACCTGGAGAAATAGCTGAAATAATCAGGTGTTGCCCCTAACAACCTGCTGACTGCCACATACACTTCTGTAAAATCATGGTAACTTGTCCCCACACTCCCTACCTTGTGGTTTTAGACTATAAAATTAAAATATAAACTGGACCCGACACTGAGGCCTTTCAGGAATTATTCTGGTTTTGGGCCACTGGTGACATCTCTCTTCAAACTGCCATTGGTGTTGGAGTGCTTATTCCAGAAAGATCCATCAACACAGTCAATAGTTGCAGTGTGAAACACCTTCCATCTTTTCTATCTGGAGACATCTCCCATCAAAGCTTCACTGGGAATGGCTTCCAGTTGACTGGCTGAGGAGTCTGGACAATCACAGGCAACCTTCTACCAGAACTCAGAGTTCCTCTAACAAACAAAATCCCCAATAGCTACCTGTCAATTTCATTTGGGAACCACAGGTTAGCAGTCAGTGTAACATGGTAGGCAAAGTCAATTAATTACCTCTGGTACCCAGGCTCTAGGGCAGCTGATGCTCATCTTTTGACGTGTAGCCTAGTGCTATACAGCCCAAAAGCAACTGCCATGGTAACATTTCCAGCTTCCTTCCTCTTGGCAGTGTGTACACATTTTTGCCTGGAGGAAGAACTGATTCTCACTGTTCTAGTCTCTAATGACTAGCACAGTATTCACTACTAGACAGCAGGTGTATAGCAAACACACTGAATTAAACTTAGTGAATGACACAAGCAAATTATTTCCTTAGGCATAAAAGTCAAAATTTAGCTTGGCAAGAAACAAATGTAATTAAAATTGGAAAAATGAAAAAATGCAAGGTGATCCAGGTCTTACTTTAATGAATGCAAGGTATCTTAGAAAGAACTGTTCTTAAACCAGATGTAATGCTCAGAGCTGTAGTCAGGCCAAGCACTCAGGAGACTGAGACAGGAAAGGTAGGTCACTGCAAGCTCTAACCTGGCCTACAATGTGAAACCTGGGCTCAACAAACAAAAAGAAAAGGACATTTCTCAGATCAACACACTGTCCTTCTATTAGCAACTTAGTGATCAGTGGATATGCTTGACAGATAAATACAAAACAAAGCAGAATTTAAATCGTGACATCCCCCACCACCACAATCCAAAGTCCACCCAGCATTCAAGAACTCCTGTGTGAGGCCAACATCTGGCAGCCATTTCCAAACATGACTCTTTAAATAATACATGTATAGTGGACTCAAACTTAATCCATAAAAATTACTAAAAGACAGAAAACTTAATTTTAAATATGAAACAGAAATCCATCTAGCTACCTTCACACACACTCTCCAGAGAGAAGTATGTGGTCTGGTTGATGTAACCAGCACCTTCCAACATGGAAGTCACACAGCCAATCAGCACTCTGGGCCTGGAGTCTGACAACCCTTTGCAAGAGTTTTTGCTATCATCTTCCCATTTATCAGAGACAGCTTCCACCTGTAAAACAAACGAGTGACTCTTTACATCATCATAAGAGAGAATATGAAAAAGTTCAAGATCCGGTATGGTAGGTTCAGTGTCTGGTAAAATTTGCTTCCTGATTCACAGAAATGCCATCTAAAGGTTTTTTTTTTCTTTTTCTTTTTTTTTAAAGAGTTAAAACAAACAAACACCCAGATTAAGCTGGATGTGGTAGTGCACGACTTTAAATCCAGCACTCAGGACACAGAGGCAAGTGAGATCTCTATTAGAGGCCAGTCTGGTCTATGTAGTGAGTGTAGTGAGTTCCAGGTCAACCAAGTCTACACAGTGATACCCTCTCAAAACAAAAACAAAAAAACCACAATCTTTTTGGCTTTTAGGTGTGTGTGTGTGTGTGTGTGTGTGTGTGTGTGTGTGTGTACACCCATGCAATTTCCCATGGAAGCCAGAAGACTGTCTGATTGGCTAGAGCTGGAGTAGCATTGTAAGCTAGCTGATTTGGGTGCTGGGACCCAAATTAGGGTTCCCTACAGGAGCAACAAGCACTCATAATTGCTGAGCCATCTCTCTAGCTCTTGGAGGGATTTTTAAGGATCTGTCTTGTCCTTCATAAGGGCATAAATCCTACTCATGAGCTCTCATTAGCCAATCACTCCTTAAAAGCCTCACCTGTAGAACTGAATTGTATTGCAAAATAAATTTAAAAAAAAAAAAAAAAAAAAAACAGAAAAGAAAGTAAAAAAAAAAAAAAAAAAAAAAAAGCCTCACCTGTGATTCCAACCACCACAGGAGTCAGAATTTAACACACTTTTGGAGACAGGCTGTATAGCAATCTCTTCTGAATAAATATACAAATATTCAAGAAAACATTAGTAAACTGAATATAACGGCATATTATAAGGAATATACACCACGAACAAATGAGGCTTGTCTCAGAATGCAGAAGTGGTTAAACACATAAAATTCACTTAACATACCACATTGATAGGATGAAGAAAAAATTATGTGACTGTTTCAATTGATGCATAAAAATCATTTGATAAAATTCAAGTCTTCTGGGATATGGAAGAAAGAAAAGATAGACGGAATGTAATATGGCCAAAGCATATGGCATATTGTATAAAAATGCAGTTAAGAGCACTGACTGATCTTTCAGAGGAGCCAGGTTCAATTCCCAGCACCTACAAAGCAACTAATAACCATCTATAACTCCAGTTTCAGGGAATCTGATGCCTTCTTCTGGCCTCTTCATGCACTACACACACAGGTGCACAGACATTCGTGCAGGCAAAACACCCTTATACACACATTTTAAAAAACACTCAAAAATTTGAATGTCTTTATGAAAATTGTCACTATGCAACAAACAGATGCCACACTAATTTTATATTAAAATTTTCCAGGCTGGGCATAGTGGCATACACCTTTAATCCTAGCATTCAGGAGGCAGAATCAGGCAGATCTTTTTGAGTGTGAGGCCAGCCTGGTCTACACACCAAGTTCCAGGACAGCCAGAGTTCGATTCTGTCTCAAAACAAACAAAAAAACCCAACAATCCTTCATAATACAAACAACAAAGTAAGAATGAAAAGGAAAAATTTCCAGCATAATGAAGACTATAAGTGAAAAATACACAGTTAACATCAACCCAATGCTAAAGATGAAAAGCTTCCCTCTGTAAATCTGGAAACAGGCAAGGGCGCCCACTTGTCTCACTTCTATTCAACACTGTATTGAAAGTCCTTACCAAAACAATCAGGTAAGAAAAAGAAACTAAAGGCATCCAAATTAAAAAATTATCAAAATTATCTTTGTTCACAGATAGCTGGATCCTGCATGTACAAATTCCTAAAGATTTCACATTCTAAAAAAGTCCTCAAATGGTTAAAGCTAATAACTGAATTTGGCAAGGTATCAGGCACACAATTTGTTTTGTTTCTATGTTCTTGCAATAAAGAATAAAAAAAATTAAGCTTCAAAAAGAAGCTGGACATGGTAGTACATACCTTAACTCCAGCATCTAGATGGCTAAGGCAGAAGACTGTGAACTCAAAGCTAGCTTAGGCTATATATGAAGATTCCATTTAAAAAAAAAATACTTAGGAATTTTTCTTTTTCTTACCTGATTGTTTTGGTAAGGACTTTCAGTACAGTGTTGAATAGAAGTGAGACAAGTGGGCGCCCTTGCCCGTTTCCAGATTTACAGTCAAGGAGACAAATTAAACTGAAAAACTTAATCATGTAACTACATAAAATGAAACCATGTAACAAAGTCAACAATGATTTTGAGAGCTGGAGCAATAGCTTAGGGGTTGAGCTTAGTTCCCACAGTGCTATCATGAGGTCCAGAGTTCAGATCCTAACATTCATGTAAACAAGCTGATACAATGTTATTAATTTGATCATTTAATCTATCAATCCTACTTCTAAGAATTTATACTACCAAAGACCTATTCTTATATAAAAAAGGAAATTGCTGAATAAAAGCCACTGATCATCTGTGCTAATGATTTGTTATTATTGTTTTGTCTCTGTTTTTGAGACAGGGTCTCACTAGGAAGCCTTGGCTGGCCTGGAACTCACGATGTAGATCAGGGCAGTCAAGAAATCACAGAGATCTGTCTGCCTCTATTTTCCAAGTGCTAGGAATCTTTATAATTTTAAACAATGTTTTTAAAACACTAGAGAAAAATTTTAAAAACCATTAAAGAGTATATGTCCTAGCATAAATTTATAGGAAAACTCTGCTTTCTGAATTACATATTTCTATGTCTCAATTTGCAATTACCATCACTTGTTTTTTAAAACAGAAATCACTATAAAGAACAAAAGCTGCCGGGCGGTGGTGGCGCACGCCTTTAATCCCAGCACTCGGGAGGCAGAGCCAGGCGGATCTCTGTGAGTTCCAGGCCAGCCTGGGCTACCAAGTGAGTTCCAGGAAAGGCGCAAAGCTACACAGAGAAACCCTGTCTCAAAAAAACAAAAAACAAAAAACAAAAAACAAAAAAAAAAAAAAAAAAAGAACAAAAGCTCTCCCTCATAGGCACACTTCCCATGTCCTCTTTGGCTAGGCCATGCCTGAGAGGCTAGCAAATGTGGTGACTCAGGGTCAAGAGTGACTATTCCTTGCAAACTAAGACTTACCCTGATTGCTTTCAGTCCATTTGACACTTTGTTTTCTTCAACAACAGCAATAACTTCCTGTCCAACATTCAGAAGCACTTTGCTAGTCACAACATCGTTGGAAAAGTAGATCAAATCATCAATCATGCCATAATCACTGCAATATCTTGTCACAACACCCTGCACAGTTTTCAATCTGATATCACCTGGGACAAATGAGCAAAGAGGTTATATTAATAACAAAAGATAATCCCAGGGCAGAGAGAATGGCTCAGTGGCTTAGAGTGCTTGCTGTTCTTCCAGAGGACCCAAGTTCAGTTCCTAGCACCCACAGGGGGTGAGGGGTCATAACCATCTGTAGCCCCCTGAGGATCTGATACCTTCCTCTGTAGATACCACATACATACAGGGAGTACTCTCTCTCTCTCACCCACTCACACACACTTTAAAAAAAAAGTCAAGTGCTACTACAATTGAACTCTATGGAGAAAGGCAAGGTACGAGCATTCATGGGGACAGGAACTTAACTGGCTGGATCTGAGAACTGGAGAAGCTGCCCCTGAGTTATGTTCTGGAGTGATTTTGACACAGAATACTAGGTTCTGAGAGGCACAGGTAGTCAACATGGTGGGGAGAGCTTTGACTCCAAAGCCAGACTTGCTTGCCTGGCTTCACCCTAGCTCTTCTACCATGTGTAACCCTGAGCATGGTCCTTAACCATTATACATGTCAGTTACCCCCTATAAAATGACATCAGTAGCTATCACTACATGACAGCTGTTGGATGATTAAATAACAGAATCTATAAGCCATGTGCAAACTTCTGAGTGGCTGGCACAGGCTAGGGTGCCCTGTACATTATCATTATGGGCATCTGAGGAGTTCTAGACATGTACTATTTGTTACCATCTTATCACCATCATAGCTACAGCCTTAAGAGAGTGAGGTTCCAAACACAACACTGAAGGCATAGGAAAGCACATCCTACTTCAAGGGAAGTATAGAAACTTGGTCATTCAGTGACCTATCATGAACTGGAGCTGCAGCCACCATCTTTGAGTCCTTACTACACCTTTTCTGTGACCTCTCACTGGTAAAATATCCAGCACCCAGATCACATGACACTTATGGAGGCAGTACATTGTGAAACTCGAGCACAAGCTGTTTCTGAAAGCCACTCTTCTTTACGGTGGTTCTCACCCTTCCTAATGCTGAGACCCTTTAATACAGTTCCTCAAGTTGTGGTGACCCCCCCCCCAACCATAAAATTATTTTCGTTGCTACTTCATAACTGTAATTTTGCTGCTGTCCTGAACCATAATGTAAATATCTGATATGCAATGTCCCACAGGTTGAGACCCACTGCTTTGGAAGGATGACACTATTTCCCCAAGTCACATTTTGCCCATTAGCACATCTACATACAGAAGCCCTTTATTATGCTGTGCTCAACAACTCCATTTTTAAAAATGTTATTTCTAGCTTCTCTTACAGGAAATTGCACTCTTTTAGAGGATGGAGAAAGCAAATGGAAGCCACGAGCCTGAGTTCCCAAACAAAACAAGAGAGAAAGGCACAGTATCTTCGCAAGCATGTATCTGGGCACCTGGGAGGGCAACCTAACAATGAGAATCCAAGGGGAACGATTTCATCGCTTTTTGGAAAGACAGCATGAGATGGTAGGATTAAGGTTTCCAGACCTCTGAGAGGTCAGTGGGGGCAGACACCAGGCAGAAACGTGCAGAGACATCTGGGCACTTCGTGTGGCATAAAATCATGCACAGTGAAGGAGGTGAAGGAGCACGAAGAAGCCAATGGCACCGACCGACCCAACGTAACAAGGCACACGTGCAAAGAGCTTCTCCGAGAAAATGATGACTAAGAAACAGACAACTCGTCTGGGTTTGTCAAAGAAGTGAGGGCCGCCGGGGCCCGAAGGCGCACACCTTTAATCCAGCAGTCGGGAGGCTGAGGCAGGCGCATCTCTCTGTGAGTTCGAGGCCAGCCTGTGGTCTACAGCGTGAGTTCCGGAATGGCCAAGGCTGTGACACAGAGAAACTCCATCCCGAAAAACCAAAAAACAAACCAACCAACCAACCAAGAGGCGAGCGCCAAGCTTACACCTCTAAAGTCCTGTTGTCGAACCACACGGAACGATGGTGGTGGCGCTTACGGCAAAAAGGACCCTAGCACGACCCTTAAGGGTCACAGCCCGCCCCACCTCACAGGCCTGCCCAAGGGCTTCCTGCTGAGTGCCCCTGGAGCCCTTACCTTCCGACAGCTCCTGCCTGGGCGCCCCGACCTCCTCCTCAGGGATGTCCTCCCTCCTCCAGAAGAAGGACACCAGCTTGGCCGCGAGGCGCAGCATGGCAGCCACTCAGCTTCCACCTCGGGCCCCAGGAGCCTGCACGCCCCGGCCCCGTCCCATTGGCCACTACGCACGCGCCGCCCGTAGAACTCAGCCAATAGGGTTGTTGTGTCTGCGCCTGCGCCTGCCCCTCCCAGGACTCAGCCAATAGGATCCTTGCCTATGCCGGGAGCCACGACCGTTAGCCGCGGGAGTTTGGCGGTTAGCACGTGAAGGAGCCTCGTGACAAGCAGGCTGACATGCGCAGTGTCCTGATGAGGGGGCGGGACTTCCTGCCGCATGGGCGCAGCCTGAAGCTGGGGCGGGCGTTCCTGCACAATCCACTTAAGTAGAGACGAGGCCAGGGGCATGGTGGCACATGTGTTTAATCCCAGCACTCGGGAGGCCGAGGCAGGCGGATCTCTGTGAGTTCGAGGCCAGCCTGGTCTACAAAGCAAGTTCAAGACAGCTAGGACTGTTAACACAGAGAAACTTTGTTTTCAAAAACCAAAAACCAAAAAAAGAAAAAAAAAAGGAGAATTTCACCACCAAGTGTGACCTTAGGCGTGGTTTTGTAGAAATTCTCTATTAGGTCCGGGATGCCCCCTTCTAATCCAATTTTCCTAAGAGTTTTACTTCTTTTTTGGGCGCAGGGGTGGGGGGAAGAGGATGTTATATACCTAGCTTGTCTATGAACTCACGATGTAGCTAAGGATGCTCTGAACTCCTGATTCTCCTGCCTTGATCTCCCAAGTCCAGAATTTACAGGCCTGTGCTACCACACTGTTTTATGTTGCGCTAGGGATCTGCTGCCTGGATGCTTGGCAAATATCGCTTCAACTGAGCTACATCCCCAGCCTGTGAAATTGTTTTATTTTTAAATTACAGATTTCTCTTTAAATTTTGGTTAAGTAGCATCCTAAAAAAATTGAGTTGCAATTTCACTTCTTTTCTTGTGGTTTTCTTGACCCAAATAGGAGTTTTTATTTTGTTGTTGCTTGTTTTTTTTGTTTTGTTTCTGTTTTTTTCCAGGCATGTTGTCAATATATGACTATGTAGAGAGTTTCTGCTACTGATCTAATTTAACTTGGTCCTAAATAGTCAAATCTGGGTGACTTCTGTTTTTAAAATGTATCAGTGTATGGTGGCCCACACCTTTAGTCCCAGTACTTAGGAGGAAGAGGCAGGCAGATTTCTGTGAATTCCAGGTCAATCTGGTTTACACAGTTAGTTCTAGGCCTGTCAGGGCTACATAGTGAGACCCTGTCTCCAAACAAAATAAAAGGCAAACCTTATCAAGAGTTTCCCCACTGTATTAGTTTCCTGAGTCTCCTTTCTTCTACGTAACTTAAACAAGATGTCTTCTGTTTTATTAGTTGGGGGTCTGATTTAGTTCTAGATTAGATTTTTTTTTTAAATTTTTTAATACATCAAATCTGTCAGTTTTATTTACACCCTACTTGAGAGATGGGAGAGAGCAATTCATTCCTTAAACATTTAGGAAGCCCATCATAAAGGCTTCCTCTTGGGTGTGTTTCTGGGAATACATGGGAAAATGAAAAAGGACCTGAGAATTTATAGGGTGGGAGTCATCTTCAGAGATGAGGGCTGAATCCCCCCCACCACCACCACCCAGTCAGGCTTCCTGTCATGGTATATGGTAGGAATTCCTTTCAGGACTATCTGTGGACGCTACCAGCCTGAGCTGCTGCCCCAGATTAGTCTCTTCCATGAAGACGCTCTGAGGACATTGTATCTGTCTTTACATCATATCTAAAAGAAAATACGATGTTGCTCCAAGACTTTTTTCCGTAGGTCACCGTACTGATAGCAAATGGGGTGGATTGGCTCTTCTGTGTCTCTCTGGAATTTGATCCCTTCTCATTATTTTGGGTCACACCTCCTCCCCATCCCCCAGCCATTCTCCATCCAGCATCAGATGACACCTTGCCCAAGTTCACCTCAGGGTTAAAATCAAGTGGCTCCCATGTCCACGGATGTCTTGTACCTGGATGGCCTCTGCATTCTATTTCCCAGAATCCTCGACTCACCCCCCTCCAGCCGTGATCCTGCCTGCTTCAGGGCCTTGACACCTCCCAGACCGCTGGCTTTTCTGCCTACCAAGTGCCTTTAGTTCCATCCACCGTCGCCCTGAAGTCTATTCAGTCTTACAGGGAGAAAGTCAACTGTGTTGCCATATGACACAGAAGAACTGTGGCCTGGAAATATTCAGTGGGCAGAAGCAGGAAGGGCAGTTGTTTGAGGATTGTACTGAAAAACAGGACTTGCTCTAGAAACTTATTGGTGAAATTATTAAGGCCACTCCACATAGTTAAAAGGAGATTTATTTAATGGCGTAACTTACAAGTTAAGGGATAGGTAGGTCGCAGGGTCTGGGGAAGGTGTATCGCAGACCAGCGGTGTTCTCTGGAGCTCTGCTTGGCCCACCTTCACCGTCCAAGGTCCCGGAACCAGTGAGTGCGCCGCCCATCCAGATCTCAGGTCTCCAGGTGCCTCCCTTGGCCCCGCCTTGTAGGCGTGACAGTTGCCGAAGTCTCAATGGGGGTTGGAACTTCCAGATCAAAGCTGGAATGGCTACCCACTACAGAAACTGGTACAACAGTAGCCATGAAGACATACTCCCAAGTCACTATGAGTTGGGAGTTAAGAGAGCTCCAGGATCGCTCACCCTCTCTGATTCAAAGCAGCCTGTTTGCATTTCTTAGTAGAAAACACTTTTGAAAGTCACTCAAGTGATAAAATTTGCTCAACATTTTTCCCCAAAAGGAAACACAGAAGAGTTCAATCCAGTTGGACCCATTCCCATGAATTCTACTGATTTTAAAACTCAGTAAACTTGGGAGGTTTCTCAACCCATTTGAAAGAAGTTCCAGATGTCTCAGGGAGCAGTTGGGGAGAATTGTTTCTTGTTTTAATTTATTTTTATTTTATGTGTATGAGTGTTTTGCCTGCATGTATACATATAATGTATGTATGTCTAAAGCCTACACAGGCCAGAAGAGGGTGTTGGATCCCCTGGAACTAGAGTTATAGACGGTTGTGAGATGCCAGGTAGGTGCTGGAGTTGTAAGCTACCATGTGGATGCTGGGAATTGAACCCACGATCCTCTGCAAGAGCAGCCAGTGCTTTTCACCTTTGAGCTGTCTCTCCAGCCCTGGGTAAACTGTTTCTAATCCTTCTTGTTTGGTTGAAAAGCTAAGATAACTGAACAGCCCTGATGAGAAACCAGTGACTGAGCCCAGACTGCATGTGGTTCTGCTGTTCAAGGGCCTGTTTTTTCCAAGTACTCTGGGCTGAGCCTTTTCGAAATGCGAAATGCACACAAAGAAATTGTTGCTGTAATTGCGAGGGTGCCAGTGTCTCCAGGCAAATGAAGCACATTCATGTCCCTTTTCTCTGCCCAGTGAGCAGAAATAAAGGGTGCAGTGGGACCGTTCTTGCCAATCCTTGGGGCTACCATGGGAACCCATGGCGGAATTTCCAGCAGTTCAGGGGCCAGCCTTGCCAAATCGAGAACATAAAGGTTTACGTGGCCTGACAAAGGAGATTTCCATCGTGTGATAATGGGAAACAAAGACGGCTTAAAAAGATGTATGATGTGTGACCTTGGAGTAGTTTTCTGTTCCAGGCCCAAGGCTCGTCAGGATCCACCCCCAGTGCTGGACTCGGTTCTTAGCAGTACTTCTCTTTCCAAGACACCCTCCTGTCAGTATGCAGGGGACCAGGGGCTCTTCCCGTCCTCCTTGTGTTAGGAAAGCCCCAAGCCTGTGTTCAGGCGACCAAGGCGGACATTTCTAGGCTCCACTCCCTTAATCTCCTCATTGAAATTCAGGAAGCCGTGTGCCTGCCCCTGGCTGAAGTGCGGTCTGGCTGAGCTTTTGTCCCCCTTATGAATAGTTCTTGCTGGAAGTCCATCACCCAGAGGCCAGCTCTCCCAACAGCCGGACAACAGCAGAGGTAAGCATGAAGACATTAAGCTGCAAAGTAGGTACATCTTTTGTAGTCTCAGGTTACCACTTTGGGTGGAATGGGTGGACTCCCCCTCTGTTTGGGACTCATAAAGTTCCTAGTGAAAGTTGGAATGTCCTATATCTGAAGACTCAGATGAAGTCTAAATGACTTCATCTGAATCCAGATGGGTTTGGGTGATTTTATTCACTTTGAGAATTGAGCGCTTATTTCTTAAGTTCATAGCCTCATTGTGTGAGCATATTTCTTTGTGTAAGAAAGGGTTTGCTTAAGGCAGACATGGTAATGTGTACTTGTGCAGTAGTTTAAGGCCAGCTTGAGCCGCACCTCAATATTTTAATATCTGTGATATTTTGTCTCAAAAGAGAATTTTTAAAGCAATTCCTTGAAAATGACCCATTGTGACTGGAGGGTTTTCAGTTGTCAAAACTGTCCATGATGATTTCATTGCCTAGGAGGGAATGAATGGTGGTCTAAATCTGTTCATGAGTCTCAGCTTGGCTGTGTGTCACCCTCAGTGGCATGCCTGTCTCCAATGCCATGACACGGGAGGGGCAGTTCCGGGAGGAGTTGGGCTATGACCGGATGCCCACACTGGAGAGAGGTCGGCAGGAGACTGGACGACAGGACCCAGGCAGCTACACACCTGACTCAAAGCCGAAGGACCTGCAGTTGTCCAAGAGGTTACCCCCGTGCTTCAGCTACAAGACATGGGTATTCTCTGTGTTGATGGGGGTGAGTAGCTCAACACCATTTCAGAGGACAGCAGACACCATGTCCTTCCAGTACTGGCCATGATCTATAGAGACTGGGCCTCGATCTGTCTCAGGTGGGTCAGGCAGGAGCAGCTCCCATGTCGGAGGGGTGCCTCTTGAGTGCTGACATACTTCTTTTGTTTGTGTCCTATCGTTTACTTTTCTTAAGATCTGCTGGGTGTGGGGGAGGGATATGCCCCTAAACCATACTTACCCTGAGCCCACAAGTCACCAATCACGTGGCTGGCATGACCCTGTACTCCTGTACATGAATG